TTTTCTTGATCATTCTTGTTTTAGAAATTTATCAGTTTTATTAATCTTTTCAAAGAACCAACTTTGTTGATTTTTCTCTAATACACCTGTACTTTCTATTCCATTAACTTCTTTATTATCTCCTTTCTTTAGCTTCATGATATATTGATATTATTGTTACTTTAAACAGTCAGTAGTCCTTAATTTGTTTTTTAATAGAGTGGGAGGGAGGGGGGCGAGAGAGAAACATCAATGTGAGAGAGACACATCGATTGATTGCCTTCCTCACGAGCTCAACCAGGGCCAGAGACCAAACTGCAGCTGAGGTACATGCCCTTGACTGGACTCGAACCTGTGACTCTTTGGTCCCCAGGGCTGACGCTCTAATCCCTGAGCCAAACCGGCCAGGGCTCTTAATTTTTTTTTTTTTTAAATAACCCATGTATTTCCTTTTCTGGTGCTCTTCATATGTTCCTCCAGGTCTGTGCTCCCCTCTTGGGTTGTTTCCCGTCAGACTGCAGAACTTCCTTTGCTAGTTCTTACAGCGCAGCTGTGCTGATGACAGATTCTCTCAGCTTGTTTCACAGAGAATGTTACTGCATTTTCTCTTTTTGGAAAACGTAGTTTTCCAGATGCAATTCACATACCATAAAATTCACCTGTTGTAAATGATTTAAAGAGTAGTGCACTAATCATCAGAGAGATGCAAATTAAAATGGCTATGAGGTATCACCTCACACCTGTCAGAATGGCTGCCATCAACAAATCATCAAACAACAAGTATTGGCAAGGCTGTGGAGAAAAGGGGGCTCTAGTACACTGCTGATGGGAATGCAGACTAGTGCAGCCACTATGGAAAGCAATAAGGTGTTTCCTCAAAAAAGTTAAAAATTGAACTGCCATTTGACCCAGTGATCCCACTTCTAGGATATATCCAAGAATCCTGAAACTCCAATCAGAAAGACTATATGTACCCCTTTGTTCAGCACTATTTACAATAGCCAAAATCTGGAAACAGCCCAAGTGTTCATCAGTAGATGAGTGGATAAAAAAGCTGTGGTAATATACACAATGGAATACTATGCAGCTGTAAAAAAGAAAGATCTCTTATCCTTTGAGACAATATGAAGGGACCTGGAGAGTATTATGCTAAGCGAAATAAGGCAGTCAGAGAAAGACAAATAGCACATGATCTCACTTATTTGTAGAATATAATGAACAAAATAAGATGATGAACAGAATAGACCCAGAGACATAGAATTAGGGTTCAGACTGACAAACTTCAGAGGAGGGAGCGGGGGGGGGAGAAGGGAAGAGATAAACCAAAGAACTTATGCATATAAGCATAACCAGTGGACATAGACAACAATGCTGGGGAAGGGAGAACTGAAGGAGGGTGTCAGTTGGGGGAAAAGGAGAAACGTCTGTAACAAAAATTAATTAAATAAATAAATTAATAAATGAGTAGTGCAACCATTATCTCAATTCTTGTTCCCACACCAGCCCTTGGAAAACCACTGTCTTCTGTCTCTGTAGATTTTCCCTTTCTGCACCTTGCACGTAAACAGAATCATATATGTAGTCTTTTGTGTCTGGCTTCTTTCATTCTGTAAAACATCTTTGAGTTTCATCCATGTTGTACCGTGTGTATTAGTAGTTTGTTCCTTTGGTTCCTGAATAGCATCATATGTATAGCTGTCCCACATTTTGTTCACTCATTTACCATTTGATGAGCATTTGGATCACTTCCAATTTTTGTCTGTTAAGAATATTACTGCTGTGAACACTTGCACACATATTCTTGTGTGGACATGTTTTCATTTACCTTACATAGATGTGTAGGGGTAGAATTGCTGCTTTGTGTGGTAAAGTTATGTGTACAGTTTTGTTTTGTTTTTTTCCTCTCTCAAGGACATTTTTCCATTTTTGTTCAGATAGAGTGGGAGGGAAAGAGGAAGAGAGAGAGAGAGAGAGAGAGAGAGAGAGAAACATCATTGTGAAAGGGATACATCTAATGGTTGCTTCCCGCATGACCCCAATCAAGGCCGGGGACGAATTGCAACCAAGGCACGAGCCCTTGACCAGAATCGAACCTGTGACTCATTGGTCCGTGGGCTGATGCTCTAACCACTGAGCTAAACCAGCCAGGGTTATGTTTAATGTTTTAACAAACTGACAACTGTTTTCCAAAGTGCTCTATTGTTTACATTCTTGCCAGCAGTATGTGAATGGTACATTTTCCCCACATCCTCACTTGATTATTGTTTTTTTTTAATTATTATTATAGTAGACATAAAGTATCCCATTATGGTTTTAATCTGCATTTCCCGAGTGACTAATGATATTGAGCATTTCTTTCTTTCTTTTTTTTTTTAATCCTCACCTGAGGACACTTTCTGCATTTATCTTCGGATAGAGTAGGAGGGAGAAAGGGAAGAAGAAAGAGAAACATCGACATGAGAGAGACACATTGAGTGGTTGCCACCCACACGACCCCAACCGAGGCCGGGGACAAACTGCAACCGAGGTATGTGCCCTTAGTGGAACCAAACCTGTGACTCTGGTCCGCAGGCCAACGGTCTAACCGCTGAGCCAAACCAGCCAGAGTGATGTGGAACATTTTTTCATGGTCTTATTTGCATCTACAGATCTTCTTTGGTGAACTGTCTATTCAGGTCTGTGGCCTATTTTAAATTGGGTTTTCTGTTTTCTTATTGAATTGTAAGAGTTCTTTAAAGATTCTGGACACAGGTTCTTTATCAGATACATGGTTTGCAGATATTTTCTCCCAGTCTGGCTTGTCTTCATTTTATTACTGGTATCTTTTGAAACACATGTTTTTTAATTTGATGAAATCTATTTATCAGTTTTATTTCTCCCATTGAAGTGACTTGGCTTCTTTTTCAAAAATCAAATGGCTACCAATTCATGGGTTTATTTCTGAACCCTCGTCTGTTCCATTGATCTTGTGTCCAGCCTTACTCGGCATCACACTGCACTGATCACTGTTTCAGAGTACGTTTTGGAGTGGGAAGTGCGAGTCCTCCACCTTTGTTCTTTCATTTCATGTTCGTTTTAACTCGTCTGCCTCCTTTGCCTTTCCATGTAAATTGTAGAGTCAGCTTGTCAATTTCTGCAAAACAACTTGCTGGAGTTTGTGGGAGGAATGTGTTGAAGTAGCTCAGTTTGGGGAGAATTGCCATATTAACAGTGTTGAGTCTTCTGATCCATAGACATGGGTTATTTCTCCGTTGATTTAGCTCTTCTCTCTTTTCCTCTTCTTTGACTGTAGTTACCGTATATTCGATCGTCTCATGTTGTCCCACACATTGCTCACGCTCTATTCTTTTTCTTTTCTTTTCTTTGCTGTCTATGCTTCGGTTTAGATCATTTCCACTGACTCATGTTTCACTTATTTTATCTTTTCTTCTGCTGTGCATAGTCTGTTAAGTCTATCCAATGACCTCTTAACTTCAGATACTACATTTTCCTGTATTATAATGGTTCTTTTTTGCAAATCTACTTCTCCAGTGAAATCCTTTATTATCCCTCATTTTGTTCATCTTTTCGTCTAAATTCATTAGCCTATTTATTGTAATTATTTTAAATTTCTTTTTTTTTTATCCTCACCCAAAGACATTTTTCCATTTTTTTGTTCAGGTAGAGTGGGAGGGAGAGAGAGGAAGAGAGAGAGAGAGAAACATGGATGTGAAAGGGACACATCGAGTGGCCGCCACCCGCACGACCAACCAGGGCCAGGGACAAACTGCAACCGAGGTACGCGCCCCTAGCGGGAACCGAACCTGGGTCTCTCTGGACCGCAGGCCGACGCTCCAACTGCTGAGCCAAACCGGCCAGGGCTATTTTAAATTTCTTGTCAGATATTTCCAACATCTGGATCTTCTGAGGGTCTACTTCTCCTGACATTTTTTCCCCTTAATGATGGGTCACACTTTTCTGTTTCCTTATATGCTTTGTAATTTGGAGGGATGCTAGTCATTGTCTTTAAAAGGATGTTATTTTTTTACCCAGAGAATGTGCCTTTCCTCTTTCTAGCAGCTAAGGTGAGGAGCTAATTACTGTCATCCAGTTAGGAACCAAGATGGGCAGGGGCTGAACTGCAGCATTAGTTTCCATTTATCCCCGAGTTTCAAGCGTGAGCTCTGTCTGCATTCAGTACACTGGGCCCCCAGCACCACGAGCTCTCTGCTCTGCGTCCTGACCATGAGCTCGCATGGCGGTGCTGCAGTGGAGGGAGCCACAGAGTGAGCATAATGCACCAGTTATTGTTTTTTTATCCTCACCCAAGGATATGATTTTAGAGAGAGAGGAAGGGGGAGGGAGAGAGAGAGAGAGAAACATTGATTAGTTGTCTCCCATATGCACCCTGACTGAGGATTTAACCCACAACCTAGTTATGTGCCCTAACCAGGAATCGAACCCACCACTTTTTGATATACGGGACAATACTCCAGCCAACTGAGCCACCTGGGCAGGGCATGCCAGCTTTTCTTAGAGGTTAGGGGAACACACAAGAACTTCACCTGGTGAGCAACTTGAAACATCTTTGTATTGAAACAACAAGCATTTATTAAACTACAAAATTAACTTAACTTTTCCGATATAACAGAAGATGTCATCTGTTCAACATCTGTCACATGTTCATCTGTGCCAGGCACTGTGTTGACTCTCAGGCTTACCAGTGACCACTTGGAGGAGTCTGAGGTGCCAGGTGGCACATACCTCCTGAGGGTGGATCGAGACTGAAACCTTGTCTCTCTGTACTTCTCTCCCAACCCTCTCCCTCCTTACAGGTCACTCTGAAGGCCAGACATGAGTGTCCCGGCATTGTCATCCTATAAAAATGAGATACCCTTTTAAGTGGGAGCTGCTTACAGACCCTTTAACGCTTCAGAAAAGGAGCAGCGTCTATTAAGAACACTGTTCGTGGAACCGGAGGCATCCGTACCTGTGTGCAGGTTTTCTAATCTTCTTGCTATGTACTGCTTTTTTCTTTTCAGGTTTGGGAAAAGTTCTTAAGTTCTGAAACTCCACGGATTAATGTGTTTATGGCAGTGCCTACAATATACACCAAGTTGATGGATTATTATGACAAGCATTTTACCCAGCCCCACGTCCAGGATTTCGTGCGTGCAGTTTGTAAAGAAAAGATTCGGTAAATGAACACGGTACATCTGCCCATCCAGAAAGTCTTAAAGATCAGCAGATATCACATTTCTAGTAAATAAGTTCTGCTAAGTTTTAGGAAGCAGTGTTTCTCCTTTTCTGTAAAATATATATCTGCATATTTACATTCTGCATATAGCTACATTCTCTGTTTATCCGTGTGTATTCTATATCTGTATCTCTCTCCTGTCCTTCTGTAGATATCTATATGCATGTAACTCTCTCCTTGTATTCTATCCACTTTCTCTATCTGTTTGTCTTTGTCTGTCTTGTGGCAGAGTTTGAAGGACAAGGATGAGGACAGCAAACTGACTGTCTTGCTCCCATCCTTTCTGACCCCACTTTACATGCCTCCCCAGCTCCTGCTGAATCACTTCTCTCCACCAGTCTCTGGGCCTTTGAGCCCTTCCTTCCTGGGGTCCCAGCACACCCCTCCTGACAGAGGTGCACCAAGACTTTGGGGTCCTTCAGGGGCAGTGCGTATGCTCTGCACTGTCTCGGGAACCCGTGGACACGGCAGGCTCCTCTCCCTGTTATACTGAAGAGGGACCCGCTTAGCTGCACCCCTAAATGGGTAGCTCGGTGAGTTTTCACAGGCCCTATAGACACACGTCACCAGAGGGACACGACAAGCTATGTCTGGTGTGCACAGCTTTTCAAATCCATGGTGAGTGAGCTGTTAGACAGACGTGAATTTAAAATTCCACTGTATTTGTGTGTGTGTTTCTGTGGCCTCCTGGCCGCTCTATCCATCTGATTCCTCGTCCTTAAGAACGCAGGAAGGGCACCTTTGTTTCCCTCAGAGAATTCTGGATTGCCCAAGACAAATATTTGATTTGGTTATGATTTTGCTCCTCTCCTGTGAGAGCATGTTGGCGGGACGAGAGCTCTCTTCGGATGCTGCCTGCTACCCGTCACCGGATGGCCACCCTCTCACACGCCGTGGTGGGGTCGGGCAGCTGCTGACGGGGGTGTCCAGTGCTCGGCCACCAACACAAGAGGGGACTGGGAGCACATTCTACCCAGCCCTACAGAACGCAGGGCAGGAATGACGTCAGAGAGGGAAACCAGGCTGATTTCTGGGTAACAGAGGCTCTGAGACCTGCCCTGTTTAGGCCTTGCTGGGGCGAGTCCCTTTGCAATGTACACCTTCGTGAGGAAACACAGCAGTTGCTTCTTCTCTGTCTCTAACTAGAACCCAAAACTTCCTCTCTCCACATAATGCTTATGTGACATGGTGCACCCCGAGTAGTTACGAGCTCTCGGATGCTCCGTGAGTGTCCTTGTCACCATCGTGAGCCCTTCAGCCCCAGCCAGTGTGAAGCACCTCCGCCGTCCCCAGCTGGACTGCCTCCTCTCGTCTGCCGCTCCTGCCCCGCAGGCCTGGAGCTCCTGCCCCTAATCTGAATTCTGTCATAATCATCTTATGATTACTGTTACTGTTTGTGAGCAGCATGTTAATTATTTGCAGAGTGCCACCAAAGACCCTAAAACTATTTTTTTCTTTTACCTTGATTGCTCATTCCTTTTGAAGACCTATTTAGATTCTAAAATATACCCAACACATTCTTTTCAAAGAATAAAGCTAAATTTTAGCCCCCAACTGTGGTTTTTATCCTGCATCGTAAATGGTGATGGTGTCTATTGTGCCAAGGATGCCGTCATCGCAGAAGCTAAGGTTGCTCTGGTTTGCCGGGTAGGTTGATGGTTTCGGGATCCGCCGCCCTGCCCCTGCCTGTGCTGGAGAAGTGGAAGAACATCACAGGCCACACGCTGCTGGAGAGGTACGGGATGACGGAGATCGGCATGGCCCTGTCCAACCCCCTGGCCGCAGCAGCTCGCTTGCCAGGTACACCAGGGCCTTCTCGGGGTGCCGGCCGGGTGGCCTTGGCCTCTCCCCTCGGGGCTCTCACTTTATCCCAAATGGCCGTTAAGGACAGCACAGAAAGGTGTTCTTTGTACCAGTGTCTTTTCCAGTTACCTGGGGCAGGGGGGCAGGTGGGAAGAACATGAACCACCAGAACCCATGTGCTTCTTCTTATTATTTTTTTTTCCTCACCCGAGGATATTTTTTCCATTTTTTATACAGATAGAGTGGGAGGGAGAGAGAGGAAGGGAGAGAGAGAGAAATATCGACGTGAAAGGGACACATCGAGTGGCTGCCACCCGCACGACCAACCAGGGCCGGGGACAAACTGCAACTGAAGTGTCCTTAGCGGGAACCGAACCCGGGTCTCTCCGGACCGCAGGTCGACGCTCTAACCGCTGAGCCAAACCGGACAGGGCCCCATGTGCTTATTATAAGAGTGCCTCCTAGAGTGGGGTGCTGCTTATGTCCAGGCCAAGTCGGCCACTGGTGAGAGCCTCCGGTCCTGGTGCCCTGAGCCACACAAGGCCAGTGGCTGTAGGAGACATGACCAGTGTGGGGGACAGGAGTGAGGGAACCACCACCTGTGCTTGGTGACCTGCACATGTCTGAATGACCTGCTGCTCGAGACGGGGTCTCGTCTTCTGGCCTTCCTGCCCAGCCTTCTCTATGATGTTCCGCTCTGACTTTCATTTATTTTATGTTTTTAATTCCTCACCCAAGGAGATGTTTTTAGAGAGCAAGAGAGAAACATCTACGTGAGAAATATCAATTGGTTGCCTCCCATACAGCCCTGTCCAGGGATCAAACCCACAGCCTACATATGTGCCCTGACCAGGAATCGACCTGCAACCTTTTGGTGCATGGGATGACATTCCAACCAACTAAACCACTCCAGCCAGAGTCACTCTGACTGTCATTTAAATAGACCTTTACATCCTGGGTCCTTAACAGGGAATCTTTAAACAGAGCCCGAGGCCCGAGATGGGACTGTACTCTGGTCTGCTCTTGGCCCTCTCTGGTCCTCACAGGAAGTCACCTCCAGTGTGGCCAGAACACAGCGACAGCTCATTTGAAGTAAAAATAAAACAACCCTGTGTCTGGAATTGTATCCGGACACCCATCTAGCTTGCACACACAGTGAGGTTCATCTCTCGTGTTCGGTTATGTGCATAGTCATGTAGCTGCCATCACACTCAAGATATGAAGGGCTTAATCACCTCACAACCTTCCCCTTTTGTGTGGTCAGCACCTCCTCCACCTCTTTCTGGACTGTCATAGAAATGAAGCCTACAGGACGTGGCCTTTTGGATCTGGCTTTCCTCACTTAGCAGGATGCATGTCCATTTCCATTGCCACGTGGGATTTGTGGTGTAAACAGGTCCCTGTTTATTAACCTGTTCACCAGCTGAAGGACGTTGGGCTGTGTCTAGTTCCAGACAGTTAAGAGCAAAGCTGTTGTAAGCAGTGTGTGGATTTGTGTGAGCGTCTATTTCTCGTGAGTAAACGCCTTGGAGTGGGATGGCTGGGTCAGAAGCTGGGTCTGTGCTTCACTTTATAAGAAGCTGCCAGACTGTCTCCAAAATAGCCCCTGATGTATAAGGACGACTTTTCCCACTGATAGATGAGACTGCGGCTTTGAGAAATCACAACCTGCCCAAGGCCACAGAGTGGATATGTGTCCGAACCGACATTCACGCCATTAGACAGGGACCCCCACTTTACTGGAGCACAGCAGACAGTCCAGTTTGAAGGAAAAGAGATGGGGCCAAAAAATGGGCAGGAGAGCCCAGCTGCTGTGGCTCAGTGGTTGAGCATCAACCCCTGTACCAAGAGGTCGTCGGTTCGATTCCTGGTCAGGGCACATGCCCAGGTTGTGAGCTCGATCCCCAATGGGGGGCATGCAGGAGGCAGCCAGTCGATGTTCTCTCCCATCGATGTTTTCATCTCTCTCTCTCCCTTCCTCTCTAAAATCAATAAAGAAAAAAAAAATGACAGGAGACTTTCTGGGCCTTAACAAGAGCAAACACAAGGCCAAGAAGCCAAGACCAGGAGGCAGGACAGGAAAGAGTGAGCTAAGAGCAATGTGGGGACCGCCTTTGAGAAGGGGACTCAGGGACTGTGCAGGCAGGTGTTAAAGTGCAGGTCGGCCCGGAGGCCCAGCGGGGCTCGCCCTCCAATGGTAGAGGGACCAGGAAAGCAGCCGCCCTGGACAGGTACACCAGGAGGGTCCCCCACTGCCTGATCTCTAGTTCCCTCTGACAAGGCGGAACCCGAAGACTCTGAAACCCAAGGTTTATTGGTGCAAAATTTCCTGAATCTTAAATTCCGGCTGCAGCTCTTACACAGGCCTCAAGGGCAGTGTGTGGAACATCAGAATGGGCACTGGCTGTAGTCTCTGTTCTCTACTCTGGAATCAAATATCCGCTATTGTTTTCTTGTCTATAAAGCAAGCCTCTAAAGTCGAGTGTTGTGCCAGTTTCTGGTTTGGAAAAAAAGTAAATAAAGTAACCTTCAACCTTAAATGTTAGAGTGCTACATGAGCCCTGGCCGGTTTGGCTCAGCAGTTAGAGCGTCAGCCTGCGGACCAGAGAGTCCCGGGTTCAATTCCCACTAAGGGCACTTACCTTGGTTGCACTTTGTCCCCGGCCCCAGTTGGGGTCGTGTGGGTGGCAGTCTGTCGTTGTCTCTCTCTCTCTCTTCCCCCATCCCTCCCTCCTGCTCTATCTGAAGATAAATAAATGCAAGGATGTCCTCAGGTGAGGATTAAAAAAAAAGAGTGGTACATGAAAATCCCTAAAATATCGCCTCTGAGCATCATTTCTGGAGAAGTCAGATTGAGAAGGTTTTCTTGGGGCCCTTTTGGTATTTTCTGTGCCCTGCGACTCCTGGGCTGGGGCTGGAGCCCAGCCTGTTCCCTTCCCACTTGGGACACAGCGGTGCCACTTCTCCTGGCTTTCCCACACCTCCCAGTGTGGGGAGTGTTTCTGGAGCTTCCTTCCTTTTTGTCGCCTGCACAGCCTCCGAACATCACTCCTACGGTTGCTTGAACGACCACCAGGATTTATTCAAAGGTTCTCAAACCTGATGGGGGCACGGAAGGGCAAGGTCAGCCTCCAAGGAGGGACGTGCTGCATGAGGGTGGATGTTTGCTGTGTGTTAAGTTCTGGGTCGGATCCGATCGTTCATTCCCTGTGTCCCATGCGGTTATCGTGAAGGAAGATGAATAATTCATGGCCAAGCGCTGCTGGGCCTAATGACGCTCTAATTGGAGGTTGAGATCAGAGGCGCTAATGGCTCCTGCAGTGGGACTCCGTGGAGCGTTGACAGGAGCTCCAGGACCTTATCGGCCTGTTTCCATTCTCTGGGGACGAGCTGCAGAGCAGCCTCGCTCCCCAGATGCTGGACCGAGCTGCAGGCCAATTAAAGTTATCTAGGAAGAGCAGACAACTGTTTTACAGAGAGGCGGAAAAATGACACGCCACTCTGACTCTGGCCAGTGCTGCTGCCAGATGGATGCTGGGAGGGCAGCACTGTCTGCATGGTGCTAGGAGGGGGCACAGTTCACAGAGTATCAGGTGGGGGTGCTGTCGCCGTGGTGCTAGGTGGGGGCGCTGTCCTCGTGGTGCTAGGAGGGGGCACAGTTCACAGAGTATCAGGTGGGGGCGCTGTCCCGTGGTGCTAGGAGGGGGAACAGTTCACAGAGTATCAGGTGGGGGCGCTGTCCTCGTGGTGCTAGCAGGGGGCGCTGTCCACGTGGTGCTAGGAGGGGGCTCTGTCCCCGTGGTGCTAGGTGGGGGCACTGTCCTCGTGGTGCTAGGAGGGGGCACAGTTCACAGAGTATCAGGTGGGGGCGCTGTCCCGTGGTGCTAGGAGGGGGCACAGTTCACAGAGTATCAGGTGGGGGCGCTGTCCTCGTGGTGCTAGGAGGGGGCGCTGTCCACGTGGTGCTAGGAGGGGGCGCTGTCCACGTGGTGCTAGGAGGGGGCGCTGTCCACGTGGTGCTAGGAGGGTGGCCACTGTCCAGTTGATCCTGCTGTGCCAGGGCCAGGTCAGGGGTGGAGTGGGGTGTTTCCAGGGCTCCAGGGCTGCTGACCCCTGTCTTCAGTTTCTTCTCTGTGGACCTCACTTTTATGTATTAACAGGGCTGTGAAACTCAAGTCATTATCTCTGCCTTGAGAGTTTAACTCTTTTGTTGTGTTTGTGACGCCATGGTTAATTAAAATTCTGTCAGCACTTTTATTATAGATCTTAATGGTTTATAACTTTCACTTTGCAAGGAGAGATGAGGCCTTACTGAACAGAGCAGAGAGGAACAGGAAGAGTGTGTGTGTGGTGGGGGCAGTTTCTTCCTTTAAAAATGGAATTGAAAGGTAGCAGTCAGGTGGTGGGGGCAGGGAGGCTGGCCTTTTCTGCGTTTGAGGAGGAAAGCCGTAGGTCCCTCTTTGATAGAAATACATATTTGGGCTGGTTCAAGATGGTGGTGGAGCATAGAGGTCTTGCTCGCAGCACCTCCCAGAACCACACTGAAAGTTACAGCTAAATTGGGGGACCATCACCCTGAAATACTAACTGGAGCGTATCTGAAGAGGACACTCTGAACCAAGGACTGCAGAAGCCACATCCAGACCACACCTGTACAACAACTTGTACTGCGCGGTCAGCGTGGAGCCTCACAGGCAGCCAGCCTGAGGGGTGATCCCACACGTGAGCAGGCCAGCAGCAGTCAAGACCCAGTTCCAACGGCAGGGCCCATGTAACCCACACACGGGCAGTCCTGGAGCATCCAGCTCGGGACATCAAGAGATTGCACCCCTGGGTCCCAAGGACACTGCCCACACCAGGCCACCTCACAAGGACGGGGAGGCATAGCATTTCTACCTAGTACATAGAAGCAACACAAAGAGACATTAAAATGGGGAGACAGAAACAACCCCCAAATGAAAGAAGAGGAGGAATCTCCAGAAAAAGAGCTAAATGAAATGGAGGCAAGCAATGCATCAGCTATGGAGTTCAAAGTAATGGTTATAAGGATGCTCAAGGAAATAGAAGCCATGAACAAGAACCAGTCGGTCATGAAGAATACCACATCTGTCTTCAAGAATACACTGGAAGGCCCTGGCCGGTTTGGCTCAGCGGTTAGAGCATCGGCCTGCGGTCCGGAGAGACCCGGGTTCGGTTCCCGCTAAGGGCATGTACCTTGGTTGCAGTTTGTCCCCGGCCCTGGTTGGTTGTGCGGGTGGCAGCCACTCGATGTGTCCCTTTCACATCGATGTTTCTCTCTCTCTCTGTTCCTCTCTCTCCCTCCCACTCTATCTGAACAAAGAATGGAAAAATGTCCTCGAGTGAGGATGATTAAAAAAAAAAAAAGAATACACTGGAAGGAATTAAAAGTAGATTGAATCAGAGGATTGAATCAGTGACATGGAAAACAAAGTAGGAAAAGGCACCCAATTAGAGCAGGGGGAAAAAAGCCAAGAGGATAGTTTAAGGGAACTTTGGGATAAGATAAAACCTAATAAAACCCCTATTGGTTGGGGGGCGGTGCAGGAGGCAACCAATCAATGTGTGTCTCTCACATCTATGTTTCTCTCTCTCTCTCTTTCTCCCTCTCCCTCCTTCTCCCTCCATCCCTTGGTCTCTTCCACTCTCTCCAAAAAGCAATGGAAAAAATATCCTCAGCAGAAGATTAACAACAACAATAACAAAAGCTCAACTGTCACTAATCATCAGAAATGCAAATTAAAACCACAATGAGGTTACACCTCACACCTGCCAGAATGGCTACCTCAATAAATCAACAAACAAAAAGTGCTGGAAAGGATGTGGGGAAAGGGGAACCCTAGTGCACTGCTGGTGGGAGTGCAGACTGGTGCAGCCACTGTGGAAAACACTATGGAGTTTGTATTAATAAGGCGACTTTTGGAAAACCCCTAAGGATGGGGCTGGTTGCTAGGGGAACCAACCAGGTGATCGGAGGTTTGGAACTCAGCCCCGCCCTGACCACCTAGGAGGGGAGAGGGGCTGGAGGTTGAGTTAATCACCAGTGGCCAGTGAGTTACTGGATCATGTCTGCATAGGGGAACCTCTGAGGAACACAAGGAGGTACTGGGAGGGTTGCGCCCCTGGAGAATGTGGAAGCACGGAGCCCCTTCCCCCCCATACCTGTCCTAGGCATCTCTTCCATCTGGCCGTTCAGAGGTTGTATGCTTTATAACAAATTGATCTTTTAGTAATTAAACTGTTTTCCTGGGTTCTATGAGCCACTCTAGCAAATGATTGAACCCCAGGAGGAGGTTGTGGGAACCTCCGATTTGTAGCCAGTCGGACAGAAGCTGTGGGTAACATCTCTTGGGACTGGGGTCACTGAAGTGACCCACTGGAGGTTGTGGGACTGAGCCCTTAACCTTCTGCACATGAGCCCCCACCAGCTGCAGCAGATGGCCAGGCATGGCCTGGGATGGCCTCACCTCCGCTGCCCTGAGGCCTCCTGAGCAGACCCAGGCGGGCTCCCTTGTCCGCACACCTCTCTGGTCCCAGGGCCTGGATGGAGCCTCTGCTTCCTTCCTTCTGGGGAGGTGAGCTCGGGGCTCACAGCCGAGGCGGCGGCGCTGTCAGAGCTCGGTCGGCCCGAGGGGCCCTCCCACTGCGGCCGGTGGGCTCCCGAAGGGAGGGAATGAGGAGCAGGCTTTCCTTTCTGAGTGAGGCGGTCGGTCCCGCTTCAGATTCTGTACTTAAGTTGATGGAGTGCCTGCTGATTAAATAATCACATTCTGCCTGATTACTTAAGGTGTGTTTATGGAACTCTTTATCTCTGGCAGGTACTTGAAGAACTCATATCTGACCAGTCTCGGAGGATAATACATCAATTTCCAGTATTTGATGTGTTCTTGTTATTCAGGCTAATCACCCTGCCCAGCACTGCATCACCCTTGTTCAGGCAGCAAGAAACATCTCATTGATACAGATTACGGGAGCATTGTCAGCTGCACAGGGCGAGGGGCAGTGCCGGGGGCGCGGGCAGTGTGGCCTGTCTGAGCATCCTCCTGCGTGGACTCAGCCCTGCCTCGCACACACGGCCTTTCTCTTGTGCGTGTTATCTGCCCGACTTCTTTGAATCCTTTGTTCCGTAGCTTTTACACACACACTCATCGTAAATTATGACCCAACACTCCAGTCACTAAGAGCTAAAACCAAGGTCTGCCTACTGAAGTTTGACCATAACACATGAGTGATGGGAAACATTTGGAGACCTTGGACCCCAGGTGAGTGTCCAGCAGTCAGGGCTGTGACCCTTGCTGGTCGCCACTGGCACGTCCATCAGTCCTCATTAGACCGTGAGGTGCAGTGAGGAGCAATGTAAACAACAGGAGTTAAACTCGTGACTAAAAAGAGAGCTCAACAAAGAAAGGGATTATTTAATCTAGAAAAGATGGTGACCTTGAGGTCGGCTGGAAACCAGGTTTAGAGTGTGCAGAATTGCAGCTGGTCCTGACCGCACCCAGGGGCAGGCTGAGCCATCAGTGGGAGAAGCAAAGCTTGTGAGGTCGGAGGGGATTGGGCTCGGCCCCACCTCCGCCTTCACAAGCTGGTCCTTGTCTCTGGTGCCCATGTCTTGCTCCTGGGCTCTCGAGTCCTGAGTGTCCGAATGCCTGCGTGGCCACTGGCAGTCTGTGTACCACCAAGAAGAGGTAGGAGGATGCACGCTGTCTGATCCCTTTCATGTGAATGTCCAGAGCAGGCAAATTCGTGGAGACAGAAAGCAGATTAGTGGTTGCTGGGGGCTGGGGGACTGGGAGTGGAAATGGACTGCTGATGGTTACAGGCTGCCTCGGGTGATGGAAAGTTCTGGAACTAGATGGTAATGATGATGGCACGACATCGTGACTGTGCTAAATGCCACTGAATTTTCACTTTATAGTGATCAGTTGTATCTTGATACAGATTTCACTTTAATTTGAAAAATCTTTGGAAGCAAAAAGAGAAAAGGGGGAGGATTCTGGTCTGTCTCCTTCCAGCTGGGACGCCCAGGACATGGAGAAGCCATCAGGACCTCAGGTGCAGAAGACAGGCCAAGGAGGACAGGGCAGAGCTGTTTTAGCCAGTCGAGACTGATGTAGGAAACCTCGTGAAGAGTTTGCAGACCTGGCTTCGGAGACCTGACAAATCCTCGTTGATTTCAGCAGTTACAATAAAGGCCCTAAACCTTGAAGTGAATTCTCATAGACGCTGGGAGTTTGGTCTTGACCCCTCTGTCACGCCTTAGTCATGTAGTACAGTGGCTGTGGGACACGTCCAAGCCACATGCCTCTCCTTCGTAGGTTTGTGTTTGATTGTAAGCTGGCCCACCACGCCGGGGCCTTCGAGTGGGATGGAGACACTGAACAAACCATGGTTCTAATTAAGTGGAGCAGAATGCCAGCGACAGTACCCCACTGCCTTGAGGATCCTTGCTCTCCGCCCAATCTCAGCATCGGGCCTCTCGGGACTTCTCGGGACAGGTGCACTGCGTGCCCTTGCTGCTCAGCCAGGTGCTGCAGGACAAGCGGCAGCCGTCCGCACCCCGCCCCGGGTGCCGGGAGGCCTTCCTAAGGTGGCCTGAGGCTCTCTGGAGCATTCGGAGCCTCGCCTCATGCGCTGTTGGCAGCCGCGGGCGCTGGCGGCTGCGGCAGGGTGGGCACTGCCGCGCCCAGGGGGGCCCGTGCTCTCAGGTCCTCTCTCCTCTGCGAGTGACGTCCAGGCAGGATCTGAGCACCTCAGGTGTGCAGCCCTCCTTTGGAATCCCTCCGACCCCATCTTTCTCATGTTTCTCCTCTGCAGGTTCTGTGGGGACCCCACTGCCAGGCGTTGAGGTGCGAATTGTCTCAGAAAACCCACAGAAGGAGGGCTACCCCTACCTCCTCCACGTGGAGGGAAATGAGAGAGACACCAAGGTGAGTCACGCTGTTTTCCATTGGTGGCACGTGGGCGTGGCACGTGGGCATTGCACGGTCATGACCACCAGCAGGCCAGTCACAGAGGTTGAAGGTCTCTGCTTTGGAGGTGGAATCCCACTGCTCGGGGATGGCCCTCCTGGATGATAGAGATGCTGGCTGGTGTTCACCGAGGGTGCCCACTGGGGTCTCTAGGCACTGCCCACGGTGTGGACAGCCTAAGAGGGTAACCAAGGCCCACCTGTGCCCCGACCTCCAGTGCTCTGCCTGGCTTCTCCCTGGGCTCCATGCACCAGGGTTACTTTGAGGTGGGTCATGGCAGTATTGACTGAGGACAACCCAACTTAAAACAGATCAGTGTAGTGGGATCTGGTTAAAAAGTCTATGCTGGCTGGACTCTGGTGCCCACTCCGAGTGGACGCCGACACAGACTTCCAGGGCAGGTGTGGCCACTCCAGCGGCCTCGCGAAGGCTCTCTGGGCAGATCCCCGGAGGCCTTTCATTAAGATGCCCCATTTCTACTGAAATCTTCTGTATTATTCTAAAAGTTACAAGGGTAGAGAGGAAAGGAACACTGTCTATTGTCTTAGTTCAGTGAAGATTTTCATAGCTACAGCTGTGCTGGGCATAAGTGAAGAGGAGTCGCAGGAAAGTTTAGGGCTTAGTGGGAAATGGAATTTTGACTTAAAAGGAAATGATTTGCACTACAGCTGATTTCCATATGAGACATCACCTGTGACTGGTTTCTGTTACTCAGAGGTTTCAAAGGATGACAGTAGTGAGTCCCCATTCCAGCTCATCCTTCTTCATGAGCGCGCACACCTGTGCCAGGAGAGGCTGAGGCCATGCTCAGTGGGTCCAGTTTCCACATTTGAAATGGGAGGGTGGAGGAGATTGTTGAATGTTTTCATGGGAGCAAACAGGTGGAACTTGGATGCTTTATAGTGTAACTTTACGGCCCGGCCGGTGTGGCTCTGGATTGAGCGTCACTCCATGGACTGAGAGGTCCCAGTCCAATGCCCAGTCAGGGCACATGCCCGGGTTGCAGGCTCACTCCTCAGTGGGGGTGTGCAGGAGACTGCTGATGACGTTTCTTTCTCACATCGATATTTCTCTCTCTCTCTAAAACATCTATAGAAACATATAAAAACCAATAAAATGTAACTTGACAAAAATTTCAGAAGGGCATCAAAAAGTAGGTATTCTGTTTACCCAAGAAAAGCCCTTACCTGGGCCCTCCCTAGGCCCTCTCACTCAGCCTCTACTCCCAGGTGTGATGACCTCTGGACCCGCCCGGCTCCTGCACCGCCACCCGGAGGGCCGAGCCATTGCCCCACCCCCTGACCGCCCTGTGCAGAGCTCTTGCCTCTGCCCTGCTGGCTCCTTTTTGCTTCTTAGCCTGTGCCCTGCACCACTTCTCCAGCCTCCGCCTCCCTGTGGACGCCCACCCACAGGCCACCGGCCCTCCCCGTGTTTGATGGCTGCCTCCCCGCTGGATGCTTAGCCTGCGTACCAGGTCAGGGATGGCCAGCAGAGAGTGCAGGCTGGGGTGTGGGTTGCAGGGACACTGTTCCATCAGGAGGTCCCCAGCAGAGAGGAATGGTGTGGGTTTGTGGGTCCGTCAGATGCTAGTGGCACAGGCAGCACCCATGACTGCTGCCTCCGCCAGGTGCCTGTCACCTGATGGCGCGGCCTCCATGTGCACCTGTTCTGCTGGAAGAGGCAGAGATAGATGCTGCCAGAGAGCAGGGGTGGGGGTGGGAGCATCTCCCTCTTAAATTGCAATACAATTTAATTCGCACCTGTGGTGGCAAACAGCCGGCCAGCTGACAGCTCCTCTCCCATCCTTGATTGTTTCAGTCTACAGAGAGTTGTGCACCGAAACTCGCTTAAAATAGAAAAAGCCGTAGCCCTGGCCCAGAGCGCTTGACAACCAGGAGAAGGAAGCACTCGCTTCACGGGGTGGGGCTCCAGGGCCGTGGGTGCCACTGGCTAGGGCTCTGAGGAGACAGGGGCAGGACAAGGAACCAGGGTCTCCTCCTCCCTGCATGGTGAGCTCCACACAGATACACCCTGGCTGTCTAAACGTGAAAGTAAGGGGATTTAGCGCTCGTGAGGGTGTGTTCTAGAACATTTTCAGTGAAGGGATCAGGATGACAAACAGCTCAGACTGGAGCTGCCCTGGTGGCCACACAGAGTCTGAGGCCCACCCCATGGAGAGACTCCAGAGGGCCTGTTGTCCCTCACGGGGTTACGGTGGACCTGGACCTGGTGTTTGGTCTTGTGACCAGTGAGGCCGCGCTCAGCACAGGCTGCCCCTGGGGCGACCAGAACCACAGGAGGACCCCTGGTAAAGTCCCGGCTGCAGGGACCTGCTTCTTTCTCCGTGTCTTTCTTGGAAGATGCCCCGCCATGACACTCTGCCTGAGCCCACCTCCGGGGCTGTAGGACACTCATCTCTAGGGTGTTACCTTCGAGGGCTGCAGACCAGAAACAGGGCTCTGTGGTCTCTCATGGGGAGAGTGAGGACACCTCCCTCTGTGTTTGATGGTATTTAGCAAGCTACTTTTATCCTTCAAAAGTGAGGACTCAGTTTTCACCCTCTGCCCCCAGGACTTTGTGGAGTAAGAACAGAGCAGTACTCAGGCAGTCACCTGCATGGAATTTTCCATCCGGGTGTCCCACCCCTGGGACACGGCCTCAGCTCCAAGCGGACACAGCCACATTGGCCTGCCTGTGCCAGCCCGTCGGCACCGTCGGGGTCAGGTGTCTCCTTGGCTTGTCATAAGGGCAAGTCTTCAACTTGGAAATGCCGCCTCCTTAGCCAGACAGGCAGCAGGCTCATACACCTGAGTGACAGGCCTGCGGTCAGGGCAGGTAGCATCTGCCAGAGGGAAGTGTGCTGCGTGATGCTGTAGCGTAGACCAGGGAGGCCGAGGGAGGACATCTTCACTCAGCACCTCCCTGGAGCCAGGGCTGTGGGCACTGTGGCCTCGGCTTCCCCCATCCACTCCTTCCTTCCTCACCCAGGGAGCACACGAGGAGACCCCTCTGGGCTGGCACCAAGCCCCGCGTTGCTGCCAGGATCCGCAGGCAGGAGTCAGCAGTAATGCACCCATCATGGCAAGCACAGTGCGGGGCGGGTGGGGGGCGGGGTCCCTCAGGCCTCTGCACTACCTCTGCACTTCCCAGAAAATGGGGTGATCCCTGCTGACCCCTGTAGGCCCGGAGTGAGGGGCCCACACAAGTCCACATCACCCAGTAGCTGTGATGCTGGGGGGCTGGGGGTACAGGTCAGGAGGGCGACTCACCTGTCCTGGGGGTGTGGTGAAGCACAGGTGTGTGACCAGCAGCCCACGGGGCTCAGTTGTCCCAGCTGCCTGGGGCTTGGCTGCCAGCACTTCCTGGCAACTCTGTCCGGTGGGACAGCAGGCCGGCAGAGTGTGCTCTCCCCTCCCCTCCCGGAGGTTCTCTGGCTCCCTTTGAAGTGGTCCCACCTTCCCGGTCTCTGGCTGCTACCTCCCTGCTGGGCTGGGTTAACCGGGCTTTGTTTGCTCTGATGCCTCTTTCACGTGCTACAGCCTCCAGCTGGCTCCAGCCTGTAAATTGCGCTCGCGCTGTCTATTCTATTTATTTATTTATTTATTTTATCCTCATCCGAGGTCACTTCTTTTTTTTATTTTTGTTCAAATAGAGTGGGAGGGGGAGAGACAGAGAGAGAGAGAAACATTGACGTGAAAGGGACACATCGAGTAGCTGCCTCCCACACAACCCCAACCAGGGCCGGGACAAACCACAACCGAAGTACATGTCCCTAGTGGGAACTGAACCCGGGTCTCTCTGGACCGCAGGCTGACGCTCTAACCGCTGAGCCAAACCGGCCAGGGCTGTCTATTTCTTTCTTTCTTTATTTTTTGAAATTGCTTGCTTACATGAGAGCTGAGTGCCAGCCCACAACAACGGGGTCCATCTGCAGATAGGGCTTCACAGCTGCACTAGTGCAGAGGGGAGCCGGCCCTCACACTGCATCGCTTCCCGTGCTGAGGATGCAGAGGCCCAGGGGGTGAGCGTTAGCGGGAGCAGGACAGCGGCCGGCCGTCAGCTCTACCTCCTTCCATCTCTTGGAAATTAATTATCTCACAGCTTATCCATATGCAGGCTGTCACTCTGGACAGCAGACTGCTCTGTTGCCTCTCCTCTCCACGCCACCAGCATCTCCAGTCCCCTCCCCTGTCACTGCCATCTGTCACTACATGTGCCACCAACTGCTGCACATGACCCGCAACCCTCAGTGGGGCCTGGCACGCTCTGCCCACCACGGTCACGGCGCCGTCCCCACAGAGGCTCCAGACAGGAAGCGCACGACACTGAAGGGGGACTCACAAGGAAAACAGAGTCCAGCCCTGGCCGGTTTGGCTCAGTGGTTAGAGCGTCGGCCTGCAGACCAAAGAGTCCCGGGTTCTATTCCGGCCAAGGGCATGTACCTCGGTTGTGGTTCATCTCCGGCCCGGTCGGGGTTGTGCGGGTGGCAACCACTTCATGTGTCTCTCTCACATCGATGTCTCTCTCTCTCTCCCTCTCTTCCTCCCTCTCTCCCTCCTGCTCTATGTGAAGATAAATGTAAAAATACCCTCTAGTGAGGATTTAAAAAAAGAAAAGAGTCCACTGTCACCCTGATGTGCCAGGTGAACGCCTGTGCTGTGTCTTCCAGCTGTCAATCAGAGCCTGCCCCCGCCCCCACATACCCTTTAAAGGCGTGCTCTGGAATGCAAGGCAGGAAGCCCCGCCTTCCCATTGTCTCATCCTGCTCAGATAACCAGTCTTTCTGGTCTAAGCAGTGGGCAGTGCTTGACTGGGCGGCCCTTCAGGATGCCGGAGCCAGCAGTCAAGGAAGGGCCTCTAGGGACAGGCGCTCTGCCATGTGCCTGCCCGGGCTCTCACCTGCCTGGACCCTGCACCTTCTCGTATTCCCTCCCGCACCGAGGGCAGAGCTGCTTTCT